CACGTCATAATAGGATGTGATCAATTCTCGGGTTCAAGTGCAAAGTAGGACAACGTTCCACGCTGTCAAATTTCTTCACTCCACATAAAATGCTGGATAAGCTTTAAAGTATTCACAACTATTCCCATTAATCTCACTTCGTCCCCTGTTTGTCCCTTATTTGCAAAAGTCAAGTTTCTTCCTGAATTGCACGACTTTCCTGAATCTATCGTTTCTGTATCTGTCTTCACAAAAGGCGGGTTTTGATGGTGACAGCCAGCACACCTCAAATGTAAAGCCCACCTTTTTTAAAATCGAGTAATTTTATAAAGGCTAAGTCCCTCCCGAAGTTTACTACAACTCAGTTTTCTTAGAATTGGCTGCTCTTTGTCTAAAACGAACAAAAAGTTTCCCAAAAGGGACCGTTAGACAATCCTGCGTGGGGTACAATGGGGTTGCCATGTACTTTGCACAGAGGTAGCTTTACGCAAGAGTTCATGTGAACCAACACACAGAGGTTCGTATCATGAAGGCTAACGGTCTTCCGTTAATGTAAGACTTCAACTTGAAGTTTTTACAGTTCTTGAGATGGACGAACGGTATGGCCTGATTTTAGGCGCAATGTGGCGTGGAAGCACGAGCCATGGATTGTTTGGCTAGCGAAAACAATTAGGATTATTCCTCCTAGCGTAGGCGAAACTCTTGAGAGTAATGAACCCACTTCACTACGCACAACAAGAAGTGATTAAGTGCTAGGCAGTCGTATACTGCTGGACGTTTTCGACACTTCATCGGAACATGTCATGCAATTGATGTTGCCCAGGTATGGGTAGATACGGAGTCGTATGTAGTGGCCACGGGTCGTCAATTAGAAAGTGTGTCGATGGATCAAGTGTACCCGGAACTGGCCAACTGAAAAAAAGATGCTGGTTGGTATGGCAATTCGCCCAACCGAAAGAATTCATGAGGAATAGATTGTTGCCGCCCTCACGGCAGAAGAATGTTGTCGACATGTGTGTGATGGAACCGAAGGAGTCGACAATGGTTGGATATGCCACTACTCACTCATACAGTAATTGAGTCGGATAGTGGGTTAGTGAGTACAGCTGAACATATATTTGATGCTCCCACCTGTTGTGTAATTCAGTACACATATGTAGAGGAATCCACGAATTTTGTTGATCGCGGTGTTGATGCTCCCGCTCTGGATGCGGTTGAGTACGCGGGTGGGCTTGTTTCGCATACGACTCCGCATGATGATAATATCGCATGCGGATATGCTGGTCTACGTTTTGAGGATTCAAAGACTGACTGTGAAGTCACACGAACAATTGCTCTTTTGAAACCGTTGCCAATCATGAAAGAGCTTGTGCAGCCCGAGAAATTCTTTTACGATGACATTGCGGAGGTCGTGTTGCTATAGTCGAAGGTCGAATCAGCGGAACCAACCTCATCGTCAGTTATGAATGGTTCAGTTCTTCAAGAATTACGACAAGCGCGTAGAATCACAAAGGATCTGCTATTTTGAAAGTTTAACCGATCTTTATTTTTGACGTTTTAAGGAATACAAGTATGACATCTCTAGTGCATAGCCACCCTTCAGTCTTCCCCCCAAACGTGGAGTTCGACATGAATTTGATCGTGAATTTGGCTCAAAGCATGCAGTGCTTCGACATTGGCCACTGTCGCGTGATCAAAGTGAGTATATCAATGCGCTCTTTGCTCTGAAGCAAACTGCTGGTGTGATGATGAAAAGCAAATCCCTTCACAGCGTTCAATAATTTAATCATCCACTGGATGTCCGGGTGTACACAATAAGTGTACTTGGCCTGGCTGATGTATATTACCAAATCTTGATGAGGGAAGCGGACGTACCTCTCACGGCTTTGTTTCCCGTCCCCCTCATCATGGGAGTGGCTTGTGATGCCACAAGGACTATCCAATTCCTCCGCAATATTTGATCGATTTGTCTCCCATCCGTTTCGACCACTGCAAATCTTCGCTCAAACATAGCTTGACGAATCTTTCTAATTTGAAGGACGATGGTGGCAGATCTGCCGAAGAAATGCACTTGGAGTAACTCCCTAGAATGTATGCTTTTACAATCATTGCAAGCGAATCTTACAAACTGTATCTTTGGTGCTAACGAAGAACTGGTCCTCGATTGTTATGTTGGTGAACGCGGTGTTCGTGCAGTCAGCATAATCGTGGAGTGGCCAACGCCGCGAAATTATACGGTTTGAGGAAATGAATTGGTTTGCCCTATTACCTGTATTGCTTTTTGCGTATCAACGTGGAAATGCTTCACCCGCTATCAAACTTGCTATAGAAGGGTGTACTACGGGAGTGGTCCTCCACTTGTGAAGAGTCATTCGCAAAGCAAGAAGGGTATGATGGAAGCACCATTACTTATTTTAAGAGATGATAAGAAGCCGTATAGCTTGGTGGGAGATGCTTCTGAGTTTGCAATGGGCTGTGCACTATTGTAAAAGAATTTCGACGTACACGGTTGTGTCATGTCGTTTAAATCGCGACAGCTGACGCCAACACGAAAGCACTATTCTATCAACAACAAGGAACGTTTGGCAATGAAGTATGTACTGGTGAGGTTTCGTGTTTAACTCTTGGGTTCAACTTCATTTGTAGTCTTCATGGAACACGCAAGCTTGCGATACGCAATTCAGTCCCCTCACTTGTCACGGCGAATGGTTCGCTGGTTGTCAATATTCGCAGAATATAACTTCACGCTTTCGTATGAACCGAAAAGACTGAACGTGCTGGCTGACGCATTGTCACATTGTCCGGGGTATGAGCTAGCCTATATTAACTAAATCGGAAACGATGTATTCCGTATTATACGTCGAGCGTATGTTGAGAATAAACAGTGTGATCTGCATATCAAGGCTTTCTCATGAAGTGATATGAAACTCCATGACAACGTTTCTGGTCGCTTGAAATCAAGGTTGCATCGTTTTGTATGGAAAAATGGTCTCCTTCGCCACGGATATGCGTCGATGTTCGGTCCCTTTGGTCGTACAAAGACCTTTCAATCTTTCAGTGTCCAATTTTTGGGCGCTCCGCATGTACAAGTTGGTTGCACGATACGTTAAGACATGCAATTTCAGTCAGCGCGAAAAGCGCATGGCACACACAAGTGCCTCAGCAGAGCCTTCTTGCTCCTACTGAATGTTGGAAGGCAGTTGGTCTCGACGTAATCTATGACTTATCCAGGAATGCTGATTGACAAAGTGGAGTGCTCGTCTTTGTCGACAGACTCAGCAAGATGGTCCACATCGCTCTATGTAGCGATTCCATCTATGTCGAAGGTTTGGTAAGATTGCTCACTACTCACGTTTTTTGCAATCACGGGTTGCCAGTCACCCTCGTCTCTAATCGTGACACAAGAGTAACGAGTAGCTTTTTGAAGTTCTTCTGGTATTTTGGCACTCGCTTGTGCCTCGCGCCGTTGGAAACGGAAATTTTTGCTATCCGTGCATAGAACCAGTTGCTGGTTTAGCTTTTGGCCGGCCTGGTGCCTTTAAGTGCCGCCCTTGCGCCGGAACTCGGTATGGCTTAAGCATGCCCACATAAAATACCGGGTGGGTGCGCATTCTCCTCGGAAGGTTCAGCTTATACGCAAGGTCTCTCCTGGCCACGACCCTAAAAGGTCCAATAAACCGCGGACATGGCTTTGTCTTGAAGACAGCCATGTGTAGGAATGTTTTTAGCATTAACCAAAACCAGGTCTCTGCCCTCAAAGGTCTCCACATTTCTTCTTCTTCTATCTGCATATTCGTACTGCATGTCTTGGCTGTGTCGTAAGACACTCGGTTTTGTAGACAGGAAGTCATCGACTTCATTACGGACACTAAGGTGCTGACATCAGCTAGCCGTTTGGCTATTTTCCCCCTATCAAACCCTCAGCCATGGGATGTCGGCGTCAGTGGGACGCGAGGATGAATGAGTCTGTTCACGTGTAGCCGGTAGAAGAATGCACTGCATTGTTCAGAGCAAATTTTACGAGTGGCAGCATGGCGCTCCAACGCCTTGGAATCTTAGCGCTGACGCTACGAGAGACGTCCTCGACGATACGATTCACGCGCTTAGTTTGACTTTCTGTCTGCGGATAGTCCGCTGTTGACGTATCCATCTTGGTGCTCAGCATCTTAAAGATCGTTGACGAAAACTTCTCAGTGAAGCGTGGGTCTCTGTCAGAGACAATTGACTCCGGGAGTCCATGTTGTCGAAAGATACGATCGACAAACAGCGTCGCTGTACCCCCACCGTCGATTGTCTCCAGCACTGCCGCAAGATGAGTCATCTTGCCCAAACGGTCCACAAAAATCGCCACGCCCGTCGGTAGGCTAAATCCAAAGGCCATTCTCATGGACAGCCAGCACCCGAAAGGTACAGGTAAACTGACCAGCGTCGCCGCATTCTGAAAGCATTTCAAACTCTGACACGTCTCACACGTGCGCACATATGTGCTCGTCCACTTGTACAGCTTGGGCTACCAATCGTAGCAACTCACCGATCTGTACGTCTCTTCACGACCGAGATGACCACTGAGTGGTTTATCGTGGGCCACATATACAGGACACAGCATTTCAAATCCTAATGCACAATTCGTGGCTTCTCCGTCAAATCGCTGCTATAATATAGCAACCTGTCATTCAGCGAATATCGGTGAAACTGCGCGCAAATGCGCCGACAGTTTCTCGTCCGAGTTTCCAAACTCCTTACTCCCGAGAGCCTGTTGCAGCGCTACACACATACCATCACCCACGTATGCAGCGAGGATCAAATCCGTCACTTACGACGTCACCGTTGTGAGATGAGCAAGCTCATCATCCAATCTGCGTGACAGCACATCAACCAAAGCATTCTGCTTTTCTGGCTTATACTTCACCACGAAGTTATCCTGCAAAGAGTGAGAGCCACCTGGCCATCTCTTCGAGAGGTGAGGCGACTGAGCAATAGTGCGAAGTGACGTATGATCTGTGAAGATTAAAAACGGCTTCGACCCAAGCAAGTGCATTCTAATCTTGACAGGTGCATTCTTCATCGCAAGTAATTTCTTGTCGTGGACTGGGGAATTCCTCTCCATAGCCTTATGCTGACAAGATTTTCGCCTCTCGGTGTCTGCTTCCAACAGTGTATAGCCAATGGCAAAGTCCGAAGCGTGACGGGTGACACTAAAAGGAATATCGGGATGTAACAACGTCAGTATTGGTGCATGAAAGAGGCTCTGTCAAAAGCCTCCCGATGGTTTTGCAACACCATTCCGTATCCTTCCTAAGGAGATTCGATAATTGCCGTGGCATTCCCGCATAATTTGCGCTATACTTCTGCAAGTAGTTGGCAAAGCCAAGTCACTTGCGCAAGTTCGTTTGATTTTTCTGAACTGACCAGTCCTTAATGGCCTAGACCTTTGCGGGATCCGCTCGAAGGCCACGCTTTCCAATGGAGCACCCTATGAAGGGAAATCTTCCGCGCCAAAAATGCACTTATCTTCATTAGCATACAGCTTATTCCTGCGCATGCACTCGGGCACCGCTCTCAACTGGACGATGACGATTCCACATCTGTCCTCTCGTGCCCCCCACGACTGTGGATGAAGACGAAGTATGTCTGTGCGTAGGCCCGGTGGGGCCAGAACAATTGCGTCACAATATGATAAAATGTTGCTGGTTTCATTTGACAGCCCTTGGGGCATCACCAGCCACCCCAGAGCATCCTACTCGGAGTACTCACTGCTGTGTGGAATATAGCTCGCTCATATGAGCAATTAGTAATAACCATTGACCAAGTCGAGACTTTGTACAGTCAGCCATATTTTTCTGGATAACATCCTTCCTAGAAATCGGCGTTTGTACCGAAATGATGACAGCGTTTAGCTGATTGGAAGCGTGAACGATACGCCACATGCCATTCGGCTTCCAGACACAAAACGTGGGTATCGAATGAAAAAGTTACTCTCACGCATCGTTTCTGCATCGTACTTCACACTGCTTCTTGGCAGAGGCCATTGGCGTGTTATGCAGTATTTGGTTTCCAAAACCAGGTCGGAATCATGACGCAGTCCGGAGGCAAGACCGACGGCGGATTTTTGGAGACGACGTCTTTAGATTTCTTCACCGAAGGTTAGTACGGATCCAATGAATTCTTCAAGGTCGACAATCTACTTCGTGCTTTCAGCACCCTCTAAGTGCCCTTCAGGACAGCTTCATTCAGAAGCAGCGGCAACTTAATCTTCGCGCTCGGTCTTAAAATGACAATCTCTGCTAAATTGCCTGTCTTCAAGGCACCGCTAAACCCTTCGAAGGACATCTCGTCCAACCCAAGAAGAGCATCCACCACGGGAATAGCCTCGAGGGTGACATCGCCGTTTTCCTCCCGTCTAACCGCTGAAACGGGTATATA